AGACTTGTTCCTATCACTGAGTTAGCCATTTTCTTGGTTCTTTTTTTTGTTGTTGTTCTCATATTTCTGGATGTCTGACTTTAGTTTTCCTGGTATAGGCAAGGAACCAACCCAAATGTCTACAAACAGATGAATGGATTGAAAAAGTATGACCCATATACTTCATGGAATACTATTCAATCATACAAAAAAATACCCTGGCAACTGATAGAAAGTGAATGAATATGGAAGATATAGTTCTTTTTTTTGTTGTTGTTCTCATATTTCTGGATGTCTGACTTTAGTTTTCCTGGTATAGGCAAGGAACCAACCCAAATGTCTACAAACAGATGAATGGATTGAAAAAGTATGACCCATATACTTCATGGAATACTATTCAATCATACAAAAAAATACCCTGGCAACTGATAGAAAGTGAATGAATATGGAAGATATATTGCTGAGTGAACTATTCAGTCATACAAAACAATACCCTGGCAATTGATAGAAAGTGAATGAATATGGAAGATATATTGCTGAGTGAAGAAAGTCAGGCTATGAAAGAGAGACATCGTATGTCTCCACTTAACATATACCAACTACACTCTATAATAGAGATCGAAAGACTGGAGGGCATAAAAGCATTGAAAATAGTATGGTCACTGGAGACAGTGTGGAAGGAGGATGGGAGAGGGGGAGAGCGTAGGTTAGGAAATAAGGGAGAAAAACAGAGAAATAAGACATTTGTGGCACACAGAAATGGTTTATTACTTGTTGATGATAATGTGCATAGTATTCTCAACTGAACTGGCCAGGGCAGATTCCATTCTTCAGAATCCAATCACACGGTCTTTCTGTCCAAGAGAGGCTTAGCCATGCCATCCCCTGTGCATGACCAGGAGGAGGACATAGTTGTGAACACAGGCATTATTTCTGCCAATTCTTAGCATGCTGACAGAGTTGACTCTTGATGTTTCTTGAATGTAAAAATAATTAAAAATCTTTCCCCAATTTTGTCTACAAACTCAATGCAATGCCACTCAAAATTCTACTAAGGTTTTACATAGAATTTGACAAGCAGATTCTAAAATTTATCTGAAGAGAAATAAGAAAGAGCAGTCAGGAAATTTTGAGATAGAAAATCAGTGCTCATGAAGGGGAGGAGATTCACTTTACTACATCTGAAACATGTTATAAAGCTACAGTAATTAAAGTAGTGTGGAATTATTGCAGGTATGTACAGGTAAGTTAGAAAACAAATCCAGTCACATATACATGATATACATAGGGATGGAATATATAATAGAATGATTTTTCAAATTACTTGGTGAAAGTATAGTCCCTTAGGTAATTGGCTATCCATTTTAAAAATAGTTAAGTACGAGACCAGCAGTTAACAATGGCTATGTCGCTGGACTCCCACGTAGTCGACCGCAGTTCACGTCCCGGACCCGGTGGCTTAAAACTCACGCCGGGCGCGTGTGCGTGCATGCCCAAGATCCCGAGAGGAGAATGGAGGAGAAGGGATTGAGGCGTGGCCATCCCCCCTAGGGGGTGATTTCTCGCTTTCTGTCTCTCTGTCTCTGTCTGGCGAGCACACGCGCCCTATAGCAAAAAAAAACTCTCCAAAAAAAAAAAAAAGAAAGAAAAGAAAAGAAAAAAAATAGTTAAGTTAAAATAACTACTCCCACTATACACGAAAACAAAGTTCATACATATTAAATAGCCAAAGATGAAAAAAATATAAAAATACAGACCTTCTGATGGCATGCTGGTTAAGGCAGCTGTATAGTACATGGCAACTTGGCAGTTCAAGTCCCAGACCTGGGGGCTTAAAAATTATGCCAAGCACATGTGCTTGCTTGCCCAAAATCCTGAGAGGAAAATGGAGAAAGAATTGTGGATTTGGCATCTCCCCTGGGGAGTCTCAGTAGGAAAATGGTAAAAATACATGAATGGACAACCTATAGAAGGAATAATACAAATGATCATAACATGAAAAAATATGAAATGTCTCCCGTAAGGAGGAAACACAAATCTAAAAACAAAATGAGTTTCTTTGTATGTATGCTTTTTCGCATGGTGGATTGGCAATAATGAACATGAGAGCTGCAGAAAAATGGGATCTCTCGCTCATTGATGAAAGGATTATAAAGTGGTAGAGTCTGTACAGGTGGCCATTTCGTAGATCTATAAAAAATTTTAAATTCAGGGAACCAGCAGTTAGCGTAATGGCTATGTCCCTGGACTCCCACGTAGCCGACCGCGGTTCGTGTCCAGACCCGGTGGCTTAAAACTCACGCCGGGCGCGTGTGCGTGCGTGCCCAAGATCCCGAGAGAAGAATGGAGGAGAAGGGATTGCGGCGTGACCATCCCCCCTGGGGGGTGATTTCTCGCTTTCTGTCTCTATGTCTCTCTCTGTCTGGCGAGCACACGCGCCCTACAGTGAAAATCTCTCAAAAAAAAAAAATTTTAAATTCATAAAACATTGACCCAGCAATCCCTCTTCCAAGAAATGGTTCTATAGAAACAAGTACATGTACACAGTGATAAATGTACAAAGATCTTCATTATGACACTATTTGTAATAACAAGCAGCTATAAACAGTCAAAGTGCCCATCAATAAAAATTAGTGAAAAGCATCATGGTACATTTATACTAGGCAATGCCAGATAACCATTAAAAAAGATCTATATGTATACTGACTTGAAAAGAGACCCAAGAAACAGTATTAGGTGCAAATACAGGTTTCATGACAATATATAATGTAATTCTTTTTATGAGCTTATTATGAAATGTATGTTTCTGTGTGTATGCATATATGATGTATTTAAATGCACTGAAAAGAATACATAACCGCTAGCAATGATGACTACTGAGACAGGAGGTATAGGTAGAAAATAAAGAACTACCACATTTTACTCTATAGACTTTGATGTTCCCTCATTTATGGTAATTATGTATTTACTTACAGGTATACAGGCATATATTTGTGTGTGGGATGGAGTGAAAAAGAGAGTGAGAACTCTACTTAGTTTACCTAGTAATACATTTCTCCGTATTTCCTATATTTTCTTTTATAGAGAGATGTTTGCTATAGGGCACATGCACTTGCCAGGGAGAGAGAGAGAGACAGAGAGACAGAAAGTGAGAAATCACCCCTGGGGAGAGGACCACACCATGATTCCTTCTCCTCCATTCTCTCAAAATTTTGGACATGCACGCACACGCGCCTGTTGTGGGTTTCAAGCCTCTGGGTCCGGGACCTAATGAAAGAGTGACAATTTGTTTCATATATGAGCTGTGTTTAGCTTTCACTAGAGTGATCCTGGGTTAAGTTCTCAGCTTGCTTTGTCTGCTTCTTGCCTCCAGTTGGTCTCTATCAGCTGTTGACCCTTAACAACCTGCATACATTTTCTTCTTCTTCTTTTTTTTTTTTTTTAATGAGAGATTTTTGCTATAGGGTACGTGCACTAGCTGGAGAGTCACAGAGAGACAGAAAGTGTAAAACCTCCCCCCCCCACAGGAGATTGCCATGCTACAATCCCCCTCCTCCATTCTCCTCTCAGGATTTTGGGCACACACACACGCATGTGCCCAGCATGATTTCAAGCTGCTGGGTCTGGCACTCAACCGCAGTTGACTATGTGGGAGTCCAATGACATAACCATTATGCCCTCTTCTGGTTTCCAACCTGGGTGCATTCTCTTCCCAGAACTGCTCATCCAGCCTCTTACTACTCCCATATGCATTCTTGAGTCTCTTTGTAGTCGAATTCAATCTCTTTGCATGTCCACTTCACCTTCTGAAGGAAAGTCAAATAAGAGGCTGCCTGCTTTTTACTGCTTCAAGTTGACAGAACCTAACCAGGGTCATGTCATTGAAACTAGGAACCTCTGGATTCTGAAGAGGAGAAAAAGATGCCTTTCTTGCTATACAGACCTGAATGTGAAAGTTAACTACTAATTACAGTGTGACATGTCTCATCTCTTGGCTCCTAATTTTGCTTATGTATAAGGCAGGACTGATGATACTACTTTTCCCCCCATGGTTAGAAAATATCTAACATGTCCAAAGGATAGAACATGCTTCATAAATAGAAACACCACCATTACTCCCACTCCTATAACCATTTTGTTAAGTACATTCATTGCCTGTTTCTTCAGCCAATGTACCATACGATCTCATAGCATTCCACTGAATTAAAATGAGGTACGAGTGTTTATCCCATTATATAGAAGAGGAAACTGAGGGCCAGAGATGTTAAGTGACTTGCCCACACTCACATAGGGCACAAGGAACAAAGAGGACGGTTACACAGGTCTCTCCACTTGTGAGATCTCTGCTCTCCTCCTCCAAACCTCACTCTCACCTTTGTGGACCATGCCTAAGAGCTCTTGTTCCCACTGAAAACATCCCCAAATTGCAAATATTATTTCCACACTCCATTCAGATGTCTGTCTGCCTCAAAGGCATGTCAAGGACACTTCCTAGTTGTCAGGATCTGGTGATTAGAGACTAACAGAGGCTGCTAATATTGCTAATTGCACAGAAGCAGCCGTTGCTTCTTTTTCTGCTGTCTATGGTCCTGGAAGGATCACCTCTGTGGTATTAATACAAGGGCAATAAAAACCTTGATTTTGCTACAGCCTTCAACCTTGGTCGACAGATACACTGGGAATAGATTCTGGTTCGAGAAACTAGTTGATAATTCCTTGCGAATTGGTCTGTCATGCTTTTTTAAGTCTGTGTGTTCATGGAAAACAGTTTTTAAATTTGCTTTGTGCGTGGATGTGCATGCAGTATCCCCCTCGACTCCTCCAAAATGTCACAAATGACTTTCCTTGAATTTACCAATTTGCAGGATTAATGTGCTTCTCTCTAGACACCTGTGCCCTAGATAGAATCCAGCCAGAATAGCTGTTTCCATTCCTAAACTCTAACCTGTTTTGCAGGCAAAGGAGGCATTGGTTTTAGGTCACCCCCAGTGGGTAACTCTCGGCTGTGTTTTTTCATGCAGTTGTGTGGAGGAGTACAAGCTGGCTCCCGATGGAAAATCCTGCCTAATGCTCTCAGATGTCTGCGAGGGCCCCAAGTGCCTCAAAGCTGACTCCAAATTCAATGACACCCTCTTTGGAGAGATGCTACATGGATACAACAACCGGACCCAGCATGTGAACCAAGGCCAGGTCTTCCAGATGACCTTTAGGTATGGCATACTTTCATAACGCTGTTCTGAGTCACTGACCCAAAATCTGGACACGAGGTAGAATCCATGGCACAATGGAGCAGAGACTTGTTCCACTGGTCAGCACCTCTGCAACCTCACTGATGCTTGTCCAAGGACTTTTAGAAGTCAGTAAAATTCATTCTATGCAGTTCCTTTTCCACCTACGTAGCATTTATTTGTCTCCTTCTCCCACTTTCCTACCTCTATCCACGTATTTTGAATTCAGTATTAAATTATCCTGTAAGTACAGCTAATGGAATTTCTAAAAATTTTAATTAATCTTTCAGCCTATTTAAAAATAAGTTTCCTATGTATGCTATTCATGCAATTCAAAAATAAAGACATTTAATGAAGTAGAAAATAAGAATCTCATCACCCAGCAATACCTAGGATTAACATTTTTCTGAACACTCTTAATATACCTTTCTCTTTCTCTCTTTCTATTTATCTGCCTATACACACACACACACACACACACACACACACGTACTTGTGTACCACACATTCAGTAAAGCCGTATAGAAATGACTTGTGGTTAGCAATCTGTCAAAAACATTTTTCTCTGTTAATGGACACCAAGGTGTATGATAAATTTAAAGAGGAAAGTGAACACTCACTGAGTAAGAGGGAACAGGCTGGTGACTAGGTTGGACGTTATGGAAAGATTCGACATGCAGGCTGATGGTGAAAATCTTCTTTGGACAGTTGAAGAAACTGAGGCTGTTTGCACACACACACACACACACACACACGTACTTGTGTACCACACATTCAGTAAAGCCGTATAGAAATGACTTGTGGTTAGCAATCTGTCAAAAACATTTTTCTCTGTTAATGGACACCAAGGTGTATGATAAATTTAAAGAGGAAAGTGAACACTCACTGAGTAAGAGGGAACAGGCTGGTGACTAGGTTGGACGTTATGGAAAGATTCGACATGCAGGCTGATGGTGAAAATCTTCTTTGGACAGTTGAAGAAACTGAGGCTGTTTGCCTGAGAAGCAGGATCTTGGGTAGGAGTTATTCACTCCTCAAAATTAAAGGAACCTAAGATGGTAGAGCGAGAAACTGTTCCATGTGTAAGAAAGAATTCTCTCAGAAAATAACAACAAAAACCCAAAACTATACTTTTTAACAGTTTCACACTAAAAAGGGCAAGGAGTCATCACAAAGCCAGACTCTTCTTATGATGTGAGGTCATGTCAATATACATCAGCACTGGAAATAAGTCGCCATTGTACCCGTCCCGTCATCTTGTTAATATTTAATTTAGAAGGAGTGGCAATACACTGGAATGGCGACTCTTTATTCAGAATTACTTTAAGTCAAGCTCTTTACTACTACTGTTGGTTGTAGCTAATAATAATAATAATAATAGTAATAAGGGCCACCAACATTAATTCAGTACATGCCAAAGTTATTCTGAGTTCTTTCCCTCTATTCGTTTATGTAATCCTAACAATGGTCCTGCAAGGCAGGGGCTATTATCATCCCCTTAATAAAAATAAAAAACGTAAAGTAGCATTCCCAAGACAGACAGAGAAAGAGAAAGTAAGAAAGTAAGTTGCCAGGCCCAGGTCTTGAACCACAGTCAGCCATGTGGGAGTTCAGTGCCATAACCATCATGTCACATCATGTCACCTAAAGCCAGGATAATGCCATTTTAACTCCATTAGTAGGACCTATGTGGCACCACAGCCTCCATTTTATAGTAGAAAAGTCAGCACAGGAGAGGTATTCTGTCTTAAGATCGCTACCTAGTGAGGATAGAGACAGGATTCAGATGTAGGTCTGGCTGACTCTAAAGTCTTGCTTCTGTCTTTTAATCCAACATACTCCCTCTCTTCCCACTTTTAGAGAATGAGAATAGAGATATAAATTCCCTAAAATCATTCATTCTCATGGTCATCACCTGTTCTTTGAACATTTACCTATGTTCCAAGAACCACCATGGTTCCTAGGGATACAATGGAAAATGAAGTATAAATGTTTCCAGATCCTCTAACCCTTAAGCATAGTTAGGGGATGAGGGGATCTTATATATTTACTTAAATAAGTAGAGATGTAGGGTTTCAGGAAACCAGTTAACAGTGGGATGTTATTTAGTTGGAGCAGAGTGGTGGAGGGGTATATTTCTTGGATTAGAGAGCAATAGTAAGACTGCAGTGTCTACTGCTCAGATGAAATGTTATTTCGCTAACTCCTGGAAGACAAGTAGGAGTAAACACTGGAAAAGGCTTCAAGCACAGACAAATGTTCTAAGAAAGGGAAGAACTTGGTCTGTTTCTGAAATGAGGACATCCAGAGTGGTTGAAGCTAAGTAAGGAAGGGGAGAATGGTGGGAAGTGAAGCTGGAGTAGCTCATAGGGGTTTTGTAGGGCACATCTTTATGCTAACAGGAGTAGGAGAATAGTTAAAGGGTTAAGGGAGGGGAGCATTCTCTGGTGACACTACATTTTTCAACTTCAACATGGCTGTGTGGGAAATATATTGTAGTTGGAGGAGCTGGAGACAGAGTGGAAATGGAGTTCAATTAAGTCCATTGTGGAAGCCACATGAGAACATGGGTGGCATCAACTGGGAAAGATGGAAACAATGCTGGGGAGAAAAGGAGATTTGGAAAAATAGTGGTGAGGTTCAATGAGCAATTTAAAAGAAAGGTAAGCTTGACAGGGGATTCAAAGGTGATAGAAGTAAGTGGCAGCCACAGAACAATTTATTGGCAGAACTTGGTCTTTCAGTTTTTAGTAAAGGATTCTTCTCTTTACTCAAATGCTCGAGCAGAGAATGAATGTTATTTGTTGGAAACAGTCTGCGAGAAGTTTAAGGACAGTCTAGATGAAATACTACTATTCAATGCTGATATTTTTTACATGCCTGTTTTTTTTTTTTTCATCATCTATGAAACTCTTGTTCTGAGTGTCATAATGAGTAGATTAATGCTACTTGGAACCCAAAGGGAAAAAATAAAGGCATTGACCCTTCTCTTCAAGGAAGCTTGAAGCTTGCTTCTCACAAGCTTGCAAGATGACACACACACAATTGAGAAAATTATTAAAATTTAATTTGCAAAGCAGTGTTCCCAGAACTGCCAATGTTTCCCAAAAAGTTCCCGTGTGAAGCCTTTGAAAGGAATTGAAAGGAAAAATTAAGACATATCTTGTGAACTGTAGTTTGAAGTGATAACAAAAACACAGTGTTGCTTGGGAGTTATAAGAGGCATTTTTGTGTCTAGGAAGGAGCCTGCAAGACCTAGCCATATGAATAAATGCAGGAATAAAACTGAGAAAACCAATCTTCCAAATAAACCTGACTTAAAATCTCAGCCCCATCCTTGGCAAAAACAGTCCAGCTGTCTGGTCTTTGAAATGAGGTGTTTGTCAGATATCAACCACCATGATAGGCACACTGCATTTTTTAAAAATTTGCTGGAGGACATATTCACTCACTCAAGAAAAAGAGAGAGAAAATGAGAATGCACCCCACCTCTGGAGAATGGTCACATCACAGTCTCTCTCCTTCATATCATCTTCCTTTTGGGATTTTGGCCACATATGTACATGCACATGACATGTTTCTCAAGCTGCTGGGTCCAAGATTTGAATTGCACTCCATATGTAATCCAGACACCTTGACTGCCATGTCATAGGCTGGCCTGGCACATTACATTTTATATAGTTTGATTTCGCATAGCAACACTCAGGGGCCGACATGTGATAAATGATCAAGTGTACAAGTTCTTATTCTCTTGTATAAAGAATAGCATGGTCCCAAAGGAGGATACATATGGAGAGTAAGAGGTTAGATCCAGAAAGGACTTCATGGAATCCTGGGTCCTCATATTTCTTGGGGGCAGGACTTACAGTTACAAAATGAGTCATTACAGAGCTTGTCCATGACCTCAGAGCTCCTGATTGATCAGGGCACTTGCCAACAGACTGGTCAGTAAGGAAGAATATGGTGACTTTAAGGCTGACCTGTCAGTGTCCAGGCTCATACAGAATTTTAGTCCCATAGGAGTCCTCATTCTGCCTTAGACATATTCTGCTCCTTGTTCTCTAGCCCTCAACCTTGGGTTGTCTCCTAATCGCTGGGGCCAAATGTCTTCCCCAGTTTGCTTATGGAAGAGAATCTAGTGAACAAACCAGCCTTTGCTGTTTTGATGAGTCTACTATTACAGTAGAGTAGTGCATTCCATTTGATTTCTATCATACTTGGCTCAGTTAAGCTTTTTTTTTTTTTTTTGCAATTATTTCATCCCGAGACCATGTCACCTCTTAGAGCCATAGGCTAAGCCAGTTGACACTCCATTGCAGAAAGGCAAGTCACTTCTGATGGATCCGAATATATCTTTTTCAAGTCTCCCTTCCTGAGCCTCAGACAGAGGGGAGGCTGGAGCTCCATGGTACTCCAACTTCCAGAAGGCCTACAAGTTTTCGGCATCAAAACCTGTTGTCATTTCTCACTTCCTCCTCCTCCTCCTTTCCCTCCTTCTTCCTTGGTAATCTCCAATCTAGCCCTAGAGAGTAGCCAGCAGGCACAGCTACCAGCCGTCTTGCCATATGCCTCAGTTCCTGAAAACTGCCTGGCCCCAAATATCAAAATCTCCACCAGCTGAAGAGCCTCCAGTGTGACAGCTATAGCTCTGCTTTTCTCCTCCTTGCCCAACCCAGATCACCACACCTAGTACTTGCTAATATAAAAGAGGTCTGCATTGTCATTTCCTCTCTTGAATCTGTAGAAGAGCAACTTGGATTTCTGCTATACAAAAACTTTCAAATCAGAGTCTCTGCAATAGACATGTGTTTCAAGGTTAGTTAGTTAAGACCTGACTCCTTGTACAGGTGAAGAAACCGAGGCTGAGGAGAGTATATTACTTGCACAGTGTTCACGGTGATTTGATGAGTTTCTAACTCCAAAATTAGAACTTCCCTGGTGCTACAGTAAAGCTTATATGGAACTCCTGCATGTCCTGTGTT